CTTCCCAGGGGCAGGAGTAGTAGAAACTTGCAGTTAAAAAAAATCTGCAAGCATTGGCATTGTGTGGTTTTAGCAAAATTGAAATGGGCAAAGTGTGTTAATTTGTTAAATGTTTATGTAGAGAAAATAGCGTAAGCGATTTGTCCTTTGGTTGTTTGTCATTCAAATAACTACAGGATTTACTGGGTTTTTGGTACTTTCAAACACAAAAATTTCTTTTTTGGTAGCAGATAGGCTTTAGAAGAAAGAAATACCACAAATTGAAAGTAATCAGTAGAGCTGTATTTTGGTAGATTAATTGGTGTCATAATCAAATACAAATGTTAGAATTGCAGTTTAGTTTTACGTGCTAAGTCTCTAAGAAGCTATGAAACCAGAAAGGCCTTTCTTTTTCTTTAATTTTAAGAAAGCACCTTTTGTGCTTTATTCTCTGGGTTGATACTTTTTCACAAAAGTACTAAAAAAATTTCTGCCTTGTTTGACTTGAAATTGCAGGTTAAGGGGGAAGAATTATGATATTGCAAGATATTGCCAGAAATAAAACTATTTAAATCACTGTAATGGATTGTCTTACATGACAGTAAGACAGCATTACACTGTTACAAAATGCTTTGCAGACTAACTAGCTAAAGGGGTAAAGCTTACCTTTCTCTACTGACAGAGTATTCAGGGCCAGAGGGTGATCCTTTCTCTGTCTGCAAACCATACTCAATTTTTAATTAAGGTTTACTAATTATTAAAGTGATTTTTAAAGTGTTGAGGAAAGATCATGTTCTAGACTTAATATACTTAATTTAAAAGAACCTTATTTGACTTCTACTAGGTTCTTGAATTTCATGTGTTCAGCAAATAGCAATAACATGATTTATCTCTGTTATTCCAATAACTTTTCAGAGCTGTGAAATTTGCCAAGAACAATTTGAACAGTATTGGGATGAGGAAGAGGAAGAGTGGCACTTGAAGAATGCTATCAGGGTAGATGAAAAGGTAATTTCATCTTATTTACATGTGATGCTAATTTATAGTAAAACCCCTGAATAATTAAAAAAAACAGGAGGAGGTGTTTTTTCTCTTGAAGGATTCCATTGTAGTTTTTCTGGCTTCCAAATATATAAATATCTCTGTCTTTGGAAGTGCCTGAAATCCTGGTGTCATTGTTACGGGCTCACTAGCTTTTCCTTACACTGCAATGCTCAAAGAAAAATTGATGTCTCTGTGTGTGGGTGTAGGTATGGATTCAGTTCTTCCTGCATGCAGCTGTGCACAGATAATTCCCAGCACTCACCAGGCTTCTGTAATTCCCAGCACTCACCAGTCCTCTGTATGATAACATTTCCTAAATAAACATCACAAAATCTTTCACAAAATCTTGTTGCAGGTATAGTTGACACCATTCTTAGCCTGCTCAGACCATAGTTTCTCTAGATGAATTATGTGATAATGTGTAATAGACACTGTTCAGTTAATTATCAGTGATCCTGCGATAATTTATTTTTATATATTTAATCGTATAACAATCTTTTTTTTCAGATTTACCATCCATCTTGTTATGAAGATTACCAGAATGTAAGTGAATCCTTCATATTTTTGGAAGCATTTTGCTTTCAGTTTGTTTGCTTCATCTCTTCGCTTTGCAGGGAGCAGATGTGTTCAGAATGTGCTGCCCATTTCTCTCGCCTAAGACTTGGAGGCCTTGGGCATGGCAAGTGTATAATACAGAATTAACTGAGATAACATTTCTGGTTGTGAGTACCATGACAGCTGGCGTGCCATAAAGCAAAGCCATGGTTGGATGGATTTATTGTGGAGTAAGATGTGTCATCTTAGGAATTTGTAACAATGGAGTAGATGGGTATTGGAGTGTGTGTGACATTTTTAATGCTTTGGGATTTACAGCGGTTCATGGTAATGTGTTAAGCACTTCATCACTGCTTGGTGATACTTTTCAAAGGAATTGGAAAAAAAAAGTGATGCTATTAAAAAAATGAATTTGTTTTCTTAAAAGTTTGACAAAGTAAAAGTTTGGATTTTGAGAGCCTGAGCATAAACATATTTGCAATTTGAAAAAAGACAAAAGGAGTAAGAGGCTAAAAATCATTATTTTAGTGTGCTAATGTACATTGACTTTCACTTTGTAGACATCATCATTTGATTGCACACCATCTCCCAGCAAGACTCCTTCAGAAAATCCACTAAATATAATGTTGGACATTGTTAAACAAGAAACAGAAGAGTCCTGTGACTCACCTAAAATCAAAGAAGAACCTGATGACACCCCTCCTGCCTGTGCAGAAGAGAGCACACCTGCATCTACAGAAATCAAAACAGAACCTGAGGAGTCTGTTTAAATAAACTGCGGTATGATTTTTTTTTTTTTACAGAAGAGCTGCTGTGTTAATTCTGGAAGGCGAATACTTTTTATATGAATAAAATGTCCAATTGAGGCGGGGCCTCAACTACTGTTTGGTTAATAAATACATTTTTGTATTTGAAATTTCTTATTGCCTGCACAGTTTCAGGTGTCATTGTGTGAAAGTTCTGTAGATGCGTGAAAATTTAATGGTATATGTAAAAATGTAAAATTTTCACTTGTTGAAATGTAAATTATAAATAAAAGATATTTTTGCTATGTATGGAGTGTAATGTTTATGCACACCATCAAATAAATACAGTGTTTCTGTACTTTTTTCAGTTTAAAATTAAAATTAATTTTTGGTTAATAAGATTCAGAAAAATGAAAGCAAGTCTCTTCCTTCAGTTATCCCATAGGTGGGTTATCAAGGGAAGGAGTTTCTCAGACAGGCCTAGATTCCTTGTCTTTTTAAAGTTATTTGAACAAGCTTACATATCCAGATATTTAAAAAAACAATTACAACAACAAAATAATAAAATCCACAGAAAAACTCACAAAAAGACAGTTCTGGGTAGAAGGGGAAAATTTAACCAACCAACTGGAGTGCTTGATTGTGGTGAACACAAGTGCCAACAAAAAAAATTAACAAACCAGGATGCCTGGTAGTTAAGATGTTTTTAATGATTTTTTTTTTTTCCATTAGTCAAACACAAATTTAATAAAGCTGAATTTTCTTTACGTTACAGGGGGGGGGAATGAATGTAAGAATGCTCATTTGAAACATAGTTAACATTTTCTTTTTTGTTGCTTATGACTGGACTTAGATGGTAAACCAGATATCCTGAGATGTTAATATTTCTTAAATGTTATAAATAAAACTAAGCATATATTTGAGTGTGAGTCTCTTCCTTTCAGTGGTGGGTATGTTTGTGGGTATTGAAATAAAGTTGTGTGTTTCAGCATGCTTTTGATGTTTTATTCACTCTGTTAGTTACAGTGTGTATTTTTAACTTGCTGGGAGCAAGACAGAAGCACTAAAAATCAGAAAGCAATGTCACAGTCCTAGCAGGTTATACTTGCGAGTCAGAATTCCTCCTTATTGTGTAAGTAAGTGCAGGAGATGTTGGCTGCAAAAACTTCTTTCCATGTTGACACCCAGGCTTCATGCAGTTTTTAAGATGCGAGTAATACTTAGATTCTTCTATTAAGGTTGGAGCTGTAGTTCTAGATAGTTGTTCTAGACGTAGTTCTAGTCAGCTTGCCCTTTTCTAGGTATGACACTTAAAAATGCTGTTTAATTAGAGACAGTCCAGAGGAACAAAAATACAATGGGTCAGGGTGCTGTCAGTCCGTGCAGTGGTGTGTGTGGCTGCTGTTTGTGTTGTGAAGGGGACTCCTGCGTTAGTTATTGCAACCTCTTCTGGAGCAGGGATGTAGCCTGCTCCCCTGGCCCAAATATGATTCTTTGGTCCTGGAATACTGTGAAATTCTACATCACACCAACTGATGCTCAGAGGCTGAGCAGAGACGTGGTATCTTTAAATATGTAGAAGGCTGTTCAGAAAAGGGAACAAATTACTCTGTCTACTGGAGATAGAACAAAAATGAGACCTATAAGTTGTAGAAATAGGCTTTATGACAGCTCTTTAATGACAAGGATAATTAAACCCTAAATGGTTCATTAAGTGACTTGGTCCATGTAATTATCACTGCACACCTGTAAATCTGACTGGGAAGGGTTCGTTCTGCCTGGAAGCAGGATTCTGGAAATACAGCGTCCTTTTTTTTTCCCCCATCAAAGGAACCCGGCTTAGCCCCAGGGTACCAGCTGGTTTTGACCAAGGGAATTGAGGAGCAGGGTCGCGTCGCAGCAGGAAAGAAATGCGGATTAAAGATTCCCACAACTTCACCGGAGTCCGATCATCCCAAGCACAAGCTGGTTTAATACCTCTTGCTCAGAGCATCACTGGGGGGTTCCGAGAGGAGAATTGGGACCTGTAACAATTCCCGTGGGGATCACCGCGGAGGCTGTAGCCCCGGGCTGCCTGAAGGTGCAGAACGCCCCGAGCAGCTCCAGCGCAGCCCGAGCGGCAGGGCCGGGCCCGCGCCTCTCCCGCCCCGCCCGCCATTTTCCTCCGCGGGAAGGGCGAGCCCGGGGCCCATGGCAACGCCGGGGCGGGGAGCAGCAGCAGCTGGAGGGAGCTGCTCCAGGCGACCGCGGCGAGCTGCCGGCCCGCTGTGCTGCGAGGGGCGGCTGTGCCCCGCTCCGGCCGGTGAGACCGCTCCGCCCCTCCTCCGCCTGCTCCTTCCCCCGGCCCCTCGCCGCGGCCGGCCCTGTGGGGCGGGGCGGGGCGGGACGGGCTCTCCCGAACCCCCGGGTCTGTGGCACGGGGCTCCGCCGGGATGCACACACAGCACTGAGGAGGCTCCATAGCCACCAAAAGCTTGGCGAAAGGCGGTGTTCGGCGCCGGCCGGCCGGGCCCTCCCCCTGCCCCGGGCCTGGCAGCTCCGCCTCCGCCCCGGCGGGTCGGGCCGTGTCGGGCCGGGTCGGGCCGGCGGCTCCCGCGGCGCTGGGGCTGCCGAAGCCGAGCTCCGGGGGATTGGGTTTGTGTGTTACGGAAACATCGCAACACCTGAATTGTGCCTTTCCCTATTCCGAGCCATGCCCTTCTTCACTTAATCTCTTTAACTGGATTTTCGGCCGGTACCGATCTCAAAGTGCTTACTGAATTCTTTCTGCAAAGTTTTCTCCCAGAACATTGAACAAGTGTTTGATAACAGTTTTTGGTAAAAAAAAAAAAAAAAAAAAAAAAAAAAAATTGCACTAGAATTGTGGAGCCTGCCCTTCGGTTTCAACATCAATGTGTCTTCTTACAGAATTGATGTTAACAGCTTTTTTCTGAGCTTCAGTCCCAGGCTGCCACCTTTGTCTTGTGCCAAGAAGCCAGTGCAGCCACCCACCCTTGGCGTTTGTCTTCATGCAGTAGTAGGTATCCAGGGGGAGAGGGGAGACAAAATTCTTTCTGCTGGTGGGCCTTGTTTGCTTATCCTCTGGGTTAAGGGAAAAAGAAAAAAAAAGAAAAAAAAAGAGAGAAAAAAAAAAAAAAGTTGCCTCGAACTGTACTGAAACATTGTGTTAAACACACTAGAACTTTGCCGAGCAGTGTAATGAGCCAGGCCTGCCTGTGATGTTGTGTAATTCAGCTGAAGTCTGTAACCCTCACTTGGTATAATGAGCAATTTCTTCCTTGGGGGAAAATTATGTCATGGTGAAACTGTTCTTCAAAATAACCTAAACAACTCAAACATGAACTAGATGACCTCTTGAGGCCCCTTCCTGCCAGAATTTTTCTGTGTTTCTGTGCTGCTGCTGTTTGTTTGTACAGTGTTTTGCAGGATGGAATCCTGGTTTTGAAGTTTTCTCAGCTTTGTGCAGGGCAGTGATGCAGCCTGCCAAGCTGGGGAGGTGGAGGTGGGGTGAGACACAGGACCCAGGGGTGTGTTACAGCATGCACAGGGTGTGTTGCTGTCAGACTGGAGTGCTGGAGCTCCACTCCCCCCCCTCCTCTCTGTAGCACCCCCAAATCTACCCGAGCTCTACTATCATACTACAGATTACATGAAAATAGGCACTGATAAACTGCAGAGGATGTTTTTAATTATATCTAGTGACTTTTTACAAATATGACAAACACGCCTGTGCAGTATCTCTTTTATATTCTTTAATATTTTTTTACTCAAATTGTGTAACTGTGTTAACTGCTACTACTATTTCTTCTCCACAGGCAGAGAAGCTGAGGCACTAATACCTTGAGACCTTCAGTTTTATGCTTTCTTGACTTGCTAAACAGTAGCCCAATTCTTCAGGACTTCCAGCAGTGTGAAATGTAATCAGAGTGTTGGTGCATTTTGGTACTGGGATGATGACTACTGCAGAAGGTGAATACTAATTGGTTTAGGTTCCTTCCATTTTCAGGTATCTGAAGTTAGCCCCCTTAGCCATTAGATCTACTTACATCTCATATTTCTGTTTACAAGTGTTGCCAAGGTATCAAGATGTTGCAAGTTGTTTGGATATGTAATTCTCATTGTTTCCAGTCATGTGGTTAATCAGTGGAAAGGCCTGAAGGGAGAACCCATGTCATTTGATACCATGGCTTGGTGACAGAAGATTTTTTTTTCTTTTATCCTACTGCTTCTACATTTAGAGTTTGATTCTGTGCCATGAATGTCAACTCTGATATTTTTTTGATTCATCACACATTCTCTGTCTCTTAAATGTTGCTGATTTAAGCAGTGGACTAATGCCCTTTTATTACTCCTCACTAGTTGTCAAGAAGAAGCAAAATTACACTAGTGTGCATGAAGCAGTGAAAGCTGGCGATGTAGAACAGCTTGCATCGATGATAAAAAGTGGAGCCAGTATTAATGAGGTGGATGTAGTTCACAAATTCACACCCTTGCAGTGTGCTGCCCACTCGGGAAGTCTGGAGGTAAAACACTACCTTACTGTATAGCATAGCTGGGCTTTTATATGTCCATATTTCCTTCTTTGGGAGAGGCTGAACCAAACATTGCTATGATCAGACTAAATCAATAATCTTTGCCTGTTTTTCTTATTAAATATATTCACCAAGGGCAGGAGTACAGGATTTTTGATTTTATTTTTTTCTTTCTGAAGACCCAGGAAATTTACCTAATCAGCTCTGCTGTATTTTGTGAAATCATTTGGTTTCTTACTCTGAGCAAAATGTGCTTTATGGCCTCCCTTTCAGACTCATGACCTTCTTTTGTCTCTACTGCATTTTCGCCTTCTCTCGAGACACCTAGAAAACTATAGGATGTGTAAAATGTTCTGAAGGTGACTGAAACAGGTGAATAGTGACATGAAAATATGTTCATTCTGCTTACCAATGTCCCATGCCTCATTCTCCATAGAAGTAGTCCTAATACATTTTATTTTAATAAATGAAAATGTTGAATAATGGTAGAGAAATCAGCAGGTGATTGCATCAGTATTTTAAACTTCCAGAAAGACTGAACTGCTGTGTTCAGCACAACATTTTCCTTCTTCTTGCAGCCTCCTTGTTCATTGTCCACAGCAATCTAAACTTGAAGCAGCAAGGCCATCCATGTCCCAGAAGAAAAAACATTAAGTTCTTGCTAGACTCAAGAATTGTTAAGTGCAGAGCTGCTTCTGGAATGCAGAGACACTGTCAAGAAAATGCTAATCATCATGCTAGCCCCAAAACCAGATTGCTTACCTACCCTTTCTGCCTCTATAAGTTCTGCCATTTTTCATTTGACTCTCCTACTTTGCAATCAGTCTGTTAGACTTTATTGAATTATCTGTCATCTGTTTGTCACTAAGCTCCTTGGCAGAAATAGTGGAGGAAGCTGTAAGATGGCCTGAAAGAAGATAATAAATCATAATAATATATAATAAAAGGTTCTAACTGTTCCTCTAGCTGTCTTTGGATATTTCATAAAGCTTTCCGTTGCAGGCAATGATATCTGCTGGAAAAAGATGAATAAAACAAAACTAGGCCACGGAAGGATGAGAAGAGAGATGGGATTACATATGCCTAAGAAGCCTAATAATTTAAATGTGTCTTTAAATTTAGTCTTGATTTTTTCCTGCCATTAATTTTAGCTGGAATTCATGTGAGCATGTTTGCATTGTTTTTCCAGTGCTTTTACCTCATGCCATATGAATACTCTCACAGATTACATTTTAAATCTGGAAAAGTAAAATGTTAAAGTCATACTGTAACATTGATGCTAAGATCTGAATTAGTAGGTTATTTGCACATTTTGAACCCTTGGGTGAATCCTGGAAAGTATAACTTACCCATAACGTCCTGTTGCACAAATACCTGTTTAAGGCATGCTCTGGGGTCTCCTATTTCCATAAGGAAGTATTCCAACACTGTTTTGAAATGCAACTTTGCTGGATAAATTCTAGCTGAAACGTGCCTCAGAGACACGATGGGAATAGTTAAATAAAAAGCCCTTTGGTTTTGTTGAGCAGTGCCTTCAGTGGCTGCTCTGGCATGGAGCTGACACCGCACGCGTGACTGTGAGAGGCTGGACAGCGGCTCACCTGGCGGCCATCCGAGGGCAGGATGCCTGCATGCAGGTACTGCAAATCCTCACTAGCAAAAACTAGTAGAACAGACCTTAATACTGGAAAAATTCATTATGAAGATCAGCTGAGGGAGCCCCTCAGGGAGCTATGAGTAGCTCATCTTGATGTCTTGACATGTCAAATTAAGTTAGTCATTTTCAAAGCTGAGCACTCATTTGCGCTGTCTGTGCAAACAGATCTGTTTTGTGCAATACCAGACCCCTGAGGTCAGCCCAGAGTTATCCTGCTGGTCATCATAAACCATCCTTCTGGGAAATGTTTGCTTTTTCATCTTGTGAAATGAACGTGTTCTTTGCATTTCTTCCAGGCCCTGTTACTGAGCGGAGCGGACGCAGCAGCTCGGGACGAGCGCGGGTGCACGGCCTCGCACCTGGCTGCAGCCCACGGGCACTCGTACACGCTGCACACCCTGCTGCGCACGGGCGCGGTGAGACTCCTGCCGCCAGGCCCGCTGCACTCCCCAAGCCTCTCCCGAGCAAAACTCTCCCTCGCTTAAACTGACGTTTAGGGCTGTGGATTAATTACTGTGGGGGGATTTCTTCCGTGGGTAAATTCCCGGTTTTTTAGATTGTGATATACATTTAGGGACGTGATCAAAAAATGTAGGGAGAATCAATAGTGTGAGTAAATCACCTTCTGCTGTGGATGTCGTTAGTTGAGCATCAGGTACTGGGGTGATGGTAATTTTTTGCAGTTCTAAAAATCTTCTGTAGTAAAGAAGGCATAAACTTAAAAAAAGAGGAAAATTAGCCCAGATGCATATTTAAGGAATAATGACCAATTCAGGTCATTATGATGATAAAAACGTGTCTAAAAATGCACTTTTTCTAAGTGTATTAAGTAAAAGCAAGAACCTGTGAAAAGTACCTGTCTTGAAACTGGAACTGCATATAATGCATGAACTTCGGAAAATGTTATTTGGTTTGATTTAAATAATTTAACACAATGAACAGCGGATTCCCATATATAAAATTTGTCTTGTGTCTTAGGATTCAGAAGTGAATGAATTAACCTGCTACTTTCATTCTAGGATGTAAATGTTTCAGACAGGAATGACTGGAAACCTGTTCATTATGCTGCTTTTCACGGTCGCTTGGGATGTTTGCAGCTTCTTGTTCGATGGGGAGCGTGTGTAGATGATGTGGATAACAATGGAAACCTTCCAGGTATATCAGGATAAATCATATGTTTTAAAGCCTTTTGTTTACAGTTGTTGTGAAATGTGATGAATGAGCAAATTATAACTAATTCACAGCAGCAACATTTGCTATTTGATTCCATGCAATCCACATAGATAGTTCATTTTTCTAATGATGGGAGGATTTATAAAATCCAAAGTGTTACTCTGTTGATGGCAGTATCCCATTCACTTCCTGCTGCTGCTAGCAGGGTTGAGAGCTCTCAAATGCTGGGATGTGGAGCAGGCTGAGCCTGACTGGGAGTGGGTGAGCAGCATCTCCTGTGTGTGTGTGATGGAGCTCATGTGCCAGTGGAGGTCCCAGGAGAAGGACAGGTGGAGGGGGAGGCAGTTTCAGCTGCTGTATGCTACTTTTTGACTTGGTGCCAGTGTGATGAGGTTCTGGTGTGTTTGCATGCAAGTTTTTGTATCCCACTGTTTCTTAACTGATTTTGTAAAACAGTTGTTTTCATTTTCCTGTGATTTCTTCATCTTGATTTCTGGAATACTGCTTTTTCTGGATTATCTGTAACTTCTTTTCGTAATTATCAGTGTATTCACTTCAGCATAAAAATTTGCCAGTGATTGTTCCTTGCTTTTTGTATTTTCTCCAGTATCCCTCTGCCTAACATACAATATCCTCTGTAAGCTTAATGGTATTGTTCCTGTCTTGGATTCTCCTTGCATACTTTCCCTTTTAGCATGTTCCTTCTAATAGTTTGTCACATTTTTTGTTCCAAAGAGCATATGTTTTTCTCTATAACTTGTACAGAGTTATCTTTATAAATCCCTTCTTAAAATCTTTTATCCTCTACTAAGGACTACTTACCTAGGAAAGAGATAGCCATGCTGTGTTTTGCAAACCTGGGTCTTGTTAAAGGATGTGAGGCTCCTGCATCCCAGCAGGAGATCTGGTGCATTAGCAATAAGGGGTCAGGATGTGAGGCACCCTGGGGGCAGCATGGAAGGCAGCTTTATTTGCATTTGGGAACACTTCCCTGATAACAGACTTCTGTGGAGAGAAAGCAGATGCCAGAGCAGTTCTACTTAAATGCTCTGTATTAAATGGTTAGGAGAAAACTGCTTTTGTTGTACTTTGACATCTACAGAAGCTTGATCTTCCAACCTTTGTTCTGTTTCATTTGATCATGTTATCTCCTAAAGGAAAGAGGATATTTTGGAACATGGCTAGTAACAGATTAGTAGAAGTACTGTGCAAACCAGCTCGTTGTCTGCTTGTGTAACAGAAGTGAACTTAAATTATCTTTACACATGTCAGCTTCAAGATTAGCTGAACGGTGCAATAATTTTTCCTAAGAGAATACTGGAAGAAATTATTTGAGGTTGCAGTGCCAGGCACCTGAAACTTAAAAACTGTCTGCATCTTTTGTATACCTGTGTTATAGCAAGGGGGTCTAATTATCTTTGCTAATTTCCTTGCCAATATTTTGGAAGAAAAAAAAAATTGTGTCTCATTCAATGAGCACAGAATGGGCTGTGCTTATTAACTGAACATTTCAATATGCTTTCTCTGTGTATTCATTTTTGGGCCACGTCCATGCTTCTTTTATTGCTCACTAGTCAAACCTATTCTAAATATTTTTCACAGACACAATTTTTTGACTTGTGGCTTTGAGAAGAGTGAATATTGTTAGTCTGATTTTATAAAAGTCAAGATGAAACACAGAGAAGTTGGGACACCAACAGATTTTAGGTATCTGAAAATGGATTCGTGAGGGTTGAGTCAGTTTTTCACTAGGTGACTTACCTTCAGCATGGTACCCTTCTTTTCCCTTCTCCCTGAGAACCTAACTCACTGACTAAAATTCAGACAATGGCAACAACTGCCCTTATTTCAGTGAAGCTCACATTTTAAACAATCATCTGTACAGGGGTATTGTCAACTTGCTGTAAAACCATTGTCCATAATCTTGTAGAGCAATTATGCTCTGGAAAGCTGTGGATGATTTGGTTTGCTGTATATAGTATGGTTTGCTTGTGTATGCCAAAAATGAATTTGTGTTTGCCAAAATGGGTTTTTTGGGTCCTGTGTACATTGTTGTTTATGAAGATAGTGAGATTCTTAACTGGAGACGAATTAATCCTTTTGTCTCTAGAACATCAGCCAGCTGCTATAGAGCATTTTCATGGAGCGAGAGATCATAACAAGCATTTATTTGGCAAGTTCTTCTCATTAATGGGATTAGAGGCTATTACTTATGTCAAACGAGTCAGCATGTGTTTGGCACCTCTTTTGTTGTTATAGGCCCAGCACTGTAGCATTATTAAATAAGTAAACCTCTGCATAGCCTAAAGGTCAGGTGAGGAATGTACCTTCAAATATTTTGTCCAGTAAAGCACCTGTCACTGTTCTCATTTTATGGGTGAGGTAACCAAGGGTGTGATGCAACTTGTTTGTGGTGGCACAGTAGAGCCTAAAGCAGAAATGGCCTTAGCTCCTAATCAAGGACAGTGCTTGCTGTCCCCCTGTAAGGAGTATCTCTGGGACAGCAGGGAGATCCATGTTCCTGGGGAAGTGAGGCCCCAGCAGTGCACTCTGGGCTAGGCCTCGGTGCTCTGTTGGGAGTCTGTTTTGTCTCCTGCAGTCAGCTCCACCAGGGAATCATCTTTGCAGATCCCAGCCTTGGCAGCTTTACCTCCTTTGCCTAGAGCTGAACTGTGTCCTGGGTGGGAGCTGAACATCCACAGTTCAGCTGAGGTGCTCTTCCCCTTGTGCAGTGTTGGATGGCTCACGTGCTGGTAGATGGGCCAGCTCTAACCAGTGGTGGGAGCGTTGCTTTCTCAGTGGGCAGCAGGGCTCTGCTCTAGCACCCTTTGTTTCATTTGTGCTGCAGCACATCTGGCAGCAGTGGAAGGACACTTGCATTGCTTTAAGTTCTTGGTCAGGAAAATGGCCAGCGTTACGCACGCTCTGAAAGCCAGGAATGACCATGGAGAGACTCCAAGGGACTTGGCTGAACGGTTCTACAAAGATAATATTCTGCAATATATTGATGGTGTGGAAAAAGAGGAGGAACATCCAGAGACACAGGAAGGTGAGTATGGATCAAGATACACTTTAAAAAGGCATTATATGTAATTCTGCAGAAGTACACGAAGGTGTACTTGTTATTTCAGGTCAGTGAAATTAATCTCTTAACTGCATGAGATGCCTGTAGCCATAACTAAGACATGTTTAGTCAAGTGTCTGGTGAGCACTGCTGGTTACACAGCTGCATTTCAGCTGATTAAGGAGCATTATCCTTGCTACCTCTGAAATGTTCATACATAAGTAGCTATGAGAGGTGAGCTGTGAGACAAATACCAGCATATTCAGTAGAACTGCTGGCATTTGCTTGGAAACATATGCCTTTTTATTTTCAGTTTTAGCTTTCCCAGGTCATGATGCTGCTTTCAATGGGGACTTACTAGTGGTTAGAAGACTAGTGAGAAGTGGAGTAATCAACATTAATGAGCGGGATGATAAGGGATCCACTCTCCTGCACAAAGGTCAGTAAATATGATCTGTGTTTCAGCTTGTTACTCTTTGTTGTTGATTTATTTACTTTGTTTTTCAAGTGGCTGCTTATCAGATAAACGTAATGAAAAACAGCATCTCATTTCTTAAGGACTTGGAAAGGCAGCCCCAAACCCCGTATTTTGTAATGCATGTGTGTATGGGTCACTTTGAAAACAATACAACCAAGCTCAAGTCAAGGAAAAAGAGCTTACAGTGAAGAGAAATCAGCATCTAAATGGAAAACTAAGTAGCTCTGACATTTATTTACTATTTGTCTATCGATATCATGTCAGGTTTGTTGGAATTAATCCTGGTTTTCAGTGATGGAGAAAGAACAGATCAAGCATATGAATTCCAGCTTTGAGTGATAAGCAAGGCTATATTCTAGCTGTAAAAGTTTTTAATTTTCACTTAGTTTAATGTAACTAAATAGTTCTGATCTTTTTTTTTTAATCAGGCAAGATGTGGCTTTCAGAAACATCTGTCTGGCTAAGTATAAGAATGATCTGTATTGTGGCCTGGGACTTTATTTCCTGAACACATCAGTACTGTGGGGATATGTTGTAAAAACTACAACAAAGTAATTTGGTAGGATGTTGTGAAGAAAGGTAAACTTCTGGTTGACACTTTGACACGTAGTGGACTGCTGGCATTACAGAAAAAATGGTTGGTTATTTTGTGTTTGGGGTTTCACAGTATTGTCTGAAAGAAGAAACAAAAGATGAAAGAAAGAGGGAAGCATTTTTGTAATATGCTTTTAGCAAATTTCCTACATTTCTTTTTGACTAGATATATAGTAGAATTTTAAAAAACATAATTGAAGTTCTTATTAAAATAACTGATATGTAGCTATTTTAAAATCCCACTTTCTTTTCTTGGAATGATACTGACCTATAGTTATTTCATCCCCAGTGTTTCCATGCTGATGTTGTAACTTCATTTGCTTTTCTCAGTGAGAAAACAAATAAAAATATCCAACAGGGAGTGCTGTCAAGAAATGGATTTACTCTTCCTTGAGAAAAATCAATGTACAGTTTCATCTAGACTTGCCAAATACCATCTTCCATAAGTGAGACATTGTTCCTGGCACCATGTGGTGGGAGCAGTGGCCATGGCACATCATATGAGTAGGGTTGTGTTAGGATGCTGCTGAGAGCTGCTGCCTTGAGTGTCTGCCCCAAGAAATGCTGTACCTTCAGCTCCAGCACAAGGCCCTGCTTCTCTCTCCTGAGGCACAGCACACACACCACAGGCTGGGGCAGCCAGCTGTGTCTAACTGCTGTGAGCCCAAAGCCAGGGAGAGGTGACAGAGCTTGGCTGCCAAACTGTGGCATGCACGCCTTTCTTACTGGGGCAGCAGTTTTTTGTGTGTCTTGTGCTTTGTACATGAGACTGGGCAAGTTTAGTTTAGCTCGTGTTCAGCAAGAGCTGCCAGTACATTTCCAGAACTAGAAAGAGCCACCAACCACGCTGCATGCTCTTCCCCAAAACTGTGTGTACCCAAGTGTTTGTCAGCATCTTGACACAGAGGCTCCTCTGGAAATAGTACCTCCCTTGTAGTGTCTTAGTGAACCCAGTCTCTGACATGTCTAAAAATGACAAGAGGAGGACATTTTAGGTTTGAAACACTTCAGTTGTGTATAATTGACTTGTGTATGCCTTCCTTCTCTTAGCTGCTGAACAGGGGCATGTCCATTGCTTACAGTGGTTGGTTGAAAAGGGAGCTGACTGTGACATTACAAATGATGCTGGAGAGACTCCAAAGGATGTAGCCAAGAGGTAGCAGTACATATCCTGTAGCTCTGACACTTATTTACTTACTATTTGAGTATCAATATCATGTCAGCTTTGTTGGAGTTAATCCTGATTTTCAGCGATGGAGAAAAAAACAGATCAAGCCTATGAATTCCAGCTCTGAGTGATAAGAAAGGCTGTATTGTAGCTATAATATTGTAACTACAAAAGGTTTTAATTTTGACTTAATTTAATTTTATTTTTAGTGAGGTCAGACACAAAAGAGGAAAACTAGCTCATTTGCCAGAGGACAGTTTTGAGCCCGTATGCTCACAGTTTGCTGTACAAAGTAAATGAGAAGTAGCAGAGGCCAGCTGATTTTTGCATTAATAAAAATAATGCAGATTCTGATGAGATTCAATTAAGAAACCCTGCAAATGAAAGAGATGCCTCTGATGTAGGAGCCATTGCCATAAGATCCCATCGAGGCAGAGCTCATGCCATAAGAATGCTACAAAAAGTAGACAGATAGTTGTAGTGTGTGTACAGTGCTTTCTTTAGCTCTGAAATCCCTCTGATAAATGGGAACATGGGCAGTTTGAGAGTTTCTACCACACGTGTTTTTCCACATTTTAACTGTTCTCTGTGCAGATTTGGCCACCTGGCAGCTGTGGAACTTCTGACACCAAGAACCGGAAACAGCAACTCTAGTGATGAAGAACTAGATGCAAACAACATCAAGTTTTTTGAAACACATGGTGTAGAAGGGAGTACAGATAGCAAAGAAGATTTAACCCTGGATAAAGCAGAGAAAATGAATGCACGCAGTAAGCACTCTATTTCCATAATTTCTTGTTTGCAAAAGATGTTATCAAGACATTATAGTCCTAACTAGGACAGTCCCAGCCAACAGCTCTGATCTTTTTTGTTAAGAGATGGTTGACAGGATATCTGTAGTACTGAGCATTGAAACAAATTGTGGAATATTAGAAAGCAAGCAGAGGGCAATCAGATCATAATTGTTATATCATTTTAATCCATGTTGGTGCAACAGTGTTGGGTTGCTATTTGTTTTTGACATCTGCTTGCTGTGTGGGTGTCAGGTGTATTTCAGTGTTGCTGAGCAGTCTGATTTCTGCTCTCACGTTTGTGAGACTATTTTCCACACTATTGGATTTCAGCATGACTGTCTTCTTGCATTTTACCTACCTGGAGAACTCTGTCTTACAGTAAGGGCCTATCACAAGATTAAAGAACTTCAGAGACTTCTAGAAATTGCCTACAACAACTACAGACAGCTGGGGGGAGTAACTGAAGAGGAGAGGAAGATGAGACAAGAAGAAAGGAAAGTTGAGAAGTAAGGTCATTCTGCCCTGCTAATGTTTAACTCTGTGGGACCCATTTTAAATTCTCCTTTAAAGCTGATTTACACTCAAATTTGCATTTGGCCATTCTGTCTTTTCCACTTACCAACTTCAACCAGCCCAAAAGAAATGAACTGCAGCAATTTGTCTGGCTATTTCTAAACTTCTACCACCAGGATAAGCCCCACAACACAAGTGTTTGATAGGTCCATGATTCTTGTGCGAGATCATCTCTTCAGTCTTCAGGTTTTTCTGCAGATGTGTGTAGTAGGTCTGATAGCTTCTGGCTGCTTTGTTTCCTCTGAGGATGCTAAAGACATGCATGTCCTTCAGGAAATCTGAATATAGGCAAAAGTCTTAGCATGGCTTGGATGGAAGTGCATATACAGCAGAGATGGGAAAAAAACAACTATCAGCAAACCTGGCCTTGCATGTGAAGCATTGTTCATAAGGTCTAATTCTCAATGTCTCCATTAAATCAAATGGTTCTGTTAGGTTGGTCAGGTGATTTGATGGGCAGACTGTCTACATTTCAAAGAAAAGTCTATCAGAGATGTAGAGATTTAACAATACTGCAGCCTCCAAAGACAGGCCTGTCTCCATGTCTGCCTGTCAAAGATTTGGCTGCCCTCTGTTCTCAGTCTCTGTAGATAACCACCTCCATCATGGGTTAGGGCCAACCCAAACCACTGTCTTTATCTGGTCACTGAGAGGAGACTGTCTGGGGGGATTATATGCTGTGAAGAAGACAGCAGATTTAGCAATCTGTGTGGATCTGAAGCAGATAATAGGTGTCACAGATTGCAACTAAGTACTTTGTTTTACAGCCATATCTGAGCCAGGAAACTTGAGGTCAGGATTTCATCTGGTTCCAGGTCACTCTTTGACTCAGCTTATGCTGAAAGTCCATCTTGTTCAACTTGATATGTATACAATAGGTAACAGACACCTCTGTCCAAGTTAGTTATCATGAGCTCCTTTTTCAGCTTCTTGGAGAGTTGTAGGCACTTCCCGGGCATAAATTAGACATGTACTTCAGGATGAGATTCATCACTTCTAGAAGTGTCTCTCCTGGTTTTAGAGGAGAGTGACCAGCTTAAGTGTTGATGCCCACATTAAAAGGTCAGAGCAATCTGGTTTTAATGATGGAAAAGTCACTGTTGACTAATGACAGACAGGGAGGTTAATTTTGGATAGAGCAGCTGCTCAGAAACTAACAATGTCTATTAGAAGGCTCTGCTGGGGCTCTTTAAGTAGTGTTGCTTTCTCTGGCATGTGTGGCTAAACTATAAAAATTGTGAGGTTCTCTGAAGGGTTTCTTCCACCTGTGAAGGCTAGAAAGAATCCCTAGCTCTAAACTCTTCTTTTGAAAAGAAATGTGGCTTCTCAGAATACCTGCCTACCCTTCTCAGGGTACCTATCTGTAGATAAACCCCAAGGTGCTTGTATCGTCGGCCAGAAAACCTCATTACTGATAAAATACCTAATGACAACACCATTTTGTTAGATGAAAAGCAGGAGTTGCCACTTGGGAAGGCCACTGTAGAGCAGATTTTGATGATTTCTGCTTTAGTCCAGGTTTTTTGGCTGTTAGAGGCCTGGTGTGAATCACTTCACAGTGCTTTAACCAGGGTTCGTTGCAGGAAATTGTCACCATGGGTGTCCCACACAGTTTGGGAGCTGTGCCTCTTTAATTGGAAGCATAGAAGAAGTCAGCTGTCCCCTGAGCACAGGCCATTCTTGCAGTGTCAGTAAGGCTGATTGGTAGCTCAAAGGGCCTGAGTCAGGAATTCCTTACTCTGAGAAACAGGGAAACATGGAAACATGGTAGTTCTTGCTGAGAGCCTTCGCCCTGTGTTTGAATGCATAGGGCAGATATCTCCCCTTTCCTTTTACTGAGCTTCCATCCTTGTAGCTGTGATAATTCATCCTGATACATAAGAGAGCCAGCTCAACTGCAGAGACTCAGTTTATGTGTGAATTATGTATCAGCTAAACAGTTCCAGGAATCTCAAATAATTTAGAAGCCTTTGAGGGTGTGGCCAGTGAGATCTTGTGCAACTGTGTATAAGCCAGTCATGCAAACTGTGATCTGAGCATTCCTCATCCGTGCCTAAGCCAATCAATAGGAAGGATGTAGAAGGACCAGATGTGAATGAGAAGGCTGCCCCTGACCTTTCCAGAATGCTGCCGGCTTTGTGCTTTTTCTCTGTTTCATAAGAACTTCGTTGCTGCTTGGGCACTTCTCCCTCCCCCGCAGCTGGAGCTTGGCCCGGGCACAGGCAGCGCGGCCCGGGCTCGGTGTGCGGGCAGACGGCTCCATCTCGTGGTGCCATCGCTGAGCACCGCTGGCAGCCGGGCAGGGAAAGCTGCTGCTCAGCGCTGTCACCAAGGGTCCGGAGCCTGAGCACAGCTGCCGTGAGGCGTGCTGCGCTGCTTTCTGCGTGACTGACCTGTTCCCTGGCAAAGGCACTGCGCCACGTGGAGCAGCCAGGGCAGCTTTGGATGTACTTCATGCTCTGCTTGTCTCTTTTGCTTTTGGCAGGGCTGTGAGGGAGCTGGAGGCCCAGCTGGAATATGAGCGAATCAGGCGGGAGAAGCTGGAGAGCCAGCTGGATGATTACCGTGCTGAGATAAACCAGCTCCGAGAGGGCCGGGGGAAAACTCGCACCGCCTCTGCTGCCTCCGAGGTGAGTATCCCACCAGCTCCCCGGGCCTGGCACAGAGGCCCCTGCCTGTTGCTTGTGTGTGCTTGTTCCCTCTATCAGAGGGCACAGTCTACAGAAAATGTGCTACAGCTTTCAGCTCGGGATGCTGAAGTGAGCAGGAGCCCTCGTCTGGCCTTGACAGTGTCTCTGCTGTGAAAGAGTATTGGTTCCTTTCCCTGAGAAATCCTGGCAGAGAAGCACTGCTATTCTTCATCTTAATGTTCACCTAAGGAGTGGGCTGATCCTGAGTACTTCCATACTGCATATCCAGTGACTGGCAGTTTCCCTCGGCTGAGACCTGGTGTCTGAGACTCGAGCGGTGCTTCAGGAGAGGTGTCCCAGCCTGCACGGCAGTAGAGATTCCTACCATGGGTCCCCAGAGCGGGACAAATTCAGTAACAGGGACTTGATCCATGTCACGGCATCTGGAGTCAGTCAGGCATACTGAATGAGAGCCCAAGATCTCATAGAAAATTCATGGAGAGAATTCAGTCTGTTAGGGAAAGGAACAGTACATGCAGCACTAGAAGTTCTAAGACAGAGGTTCTATTTTGAATTAAAAATTAAGCTCTTTTTATATGACAGAGACATAAGAGGGAAGGGGACACCAACACTGCAAGCTGCCAGTAGGTGATCATGTTTCTAATTTTTTATTTTTCACCTGTACAATGGATGGCAATAGATGATGGTGCTTCTATTCTTTCAGAGCATTTTTATTTCCCAGACTATTTTCCACCTTTTCAGTCAATTGCCTCTGCAGTCCTTTGTTTTTGTGCTTCTTGGTGGAATCTCAGGCTCTGGATGCTAGGTGCCACAGCTGTATTTCAGAGAGGCCAGCTGCACTTTTTCAAGGATGTTTCTGCTTCTCAGCCTTGTGATTGCCAGGCTGGCAAACATTTTCTTTGTAAGTATTTTTCATTAGGCAGGTTTTTTTTTGTAATTTTCCCCTTCTAACCAAGCAGCCTTTGTGGCTGAGTGACTGCTACAGCCAGGGGACCTTCAAGTCTCACACTGCTGTGCTGCCATCCCATGCCCCTGGACTGTGCTCTGCCCTCAGCTTCAGTCTGAACACAGTATTCTGTGGTTACTCCCAGACGTAGATTTTCACATCCTTCCAGTGGTTCCTGTTTAATGGCTGCAGTATTCTTGGTTTCAGGAAGCTGAGACAATGACCAAGTCTCGCAAAGACGAAGATAAAGAAGCAGTCAGCCTGCAGCCCAGGAGGCGTGCATCTACACTGAGGAACGAACCTCAAAGGAGGGGCAGCAGACTGGAGGTACAAAAGCAATATTCCAGATAATGCCAAGTGTTTGCACAGCCCAGCTCTACAGACGAGCTGTGGGTCTCTACCCCACCTTTTACTGAACGGTTTTTACTTCTCCAGTTCTCTGGCCTAAAAACAAGAAAGTCACAGGCCTCGTAATTCTGAGGAATGTATCTCCATTCACTGGTCTATTTTGTACTGCCACCTTAGGATGGAAAAAGTGCACATTACCTCCTGGCATATTTAGTGTGGAAGCTGAATAGTGGATGGGAGAACTGCTTCTCAGCTGCAGAGAGGTGCCAGGCCCCTTGATTTTCATCTTTAGTAATTCTAAAGGCAGGAAGTGACTCCTTTATGAGGTGCCACATGACCTGCAGCAGTTGGTCTCTGAGTGTAACGCAGGGCTGAAGGGCTTACTAAGTTAGGGAGCAACCTGTAGTTAGAAAGGACAACCCCATACCTAAAAACCATTTAATGACTACACATATAAAAGCTTTTCTGTCAGCTGTGTGCTATTGTGAAATTATTTTCCCTCTGGAACCCTCATTTTGAGACTTAGAAGATAATTATTTTAGTGTGTCAGTCCTAATCTGTCCTCTCCTTAGTACCAAAGAAAACTTAATCTCTGAGAATTTCAAAGATACTGAAAAATAAAAATCCATGTTTTTGTGTGCACCATGAAGGAGAGGCATGCTGACTTAACAGCATATGCCTTGCATCAAGAGCCTGCTTCAGGGTGTGTGAAATGGTGGTGGTGACAAGCTGCACCAGATGAGCTATTTCCTGCATCACCACTGGTGCTAAACTTTCATGCAGAAATTCTCAGTCAGACAGCAAATATAAGAAATTAATTTTATTTTTTTGAATAAAGATGATAAATAATTTAATTCAGGGAATATAAGAATTGGCAGAATACCAGAAGTTCAACTGTAAACAGAATAAAACAGCAATAAAAAAAATTGCCAGTACTCAGTACTACAATAGTCCTTAGCCCATAAAAGACCTATTCTTACTTCAAAGTTAATCCAGAAAGACTTAAAAAAAATGTATTATACTAAAAGAATCAAACCAAGCATATGCACTTGTACTCAGTAAGATGGAACTGCTTCACTTTTGGAAGGCAGCCACTTGTGTTGCAACTCTGCAACAGGAGCTGTCAAGTCCTTGCAGAAGGCAGTGTCAGACACGAGGGTCAGTGTGTCCCACAGGATTACAAAAGAGCCTGGAGGAGGGGGGAGGAGGATCACCACCACCACCACCCTGGCACCACTGAGATTCTGAGTATTTCCATTTTAAAAGCCAGATACTATGCCCAGAAAATATGTGCAGGTTTCTCGGAAATACTCTGCACTACTTGATGGGGGAAGTTAAGAGCACTTATCTGTCTCAGGACTCCACACAGCTGCTGGGAGTGAAGGCATTTCCCCTTGGAAAGGCAAAGACAGAGAAGTTTTCTCCTTCTTTGGACCTCTGGGCTTACAGAAATTGCAGGAGATACAAACAAAAATCTATAGAGACATTTTGTACATGAGATTTTGAATTAATGTAAATCAGTTTTCAAGGAAAAAAAAAAGGGTTCTTTAGTAAAGGCCCTGGAGTGTGTTTTTACATATGAAGATATGTGATTAGGGTTTCAATTCAGAACACCAAAGGGTTTCAATTAAAAAAACCCAAAGCTTCAATTCATCAAAAATTGAGGAACAGACTGGCAGCAAAATCCCGAACCTATGTTCAAGATTAATTTACTTGGGTCAGATTAGGTAGGTTGAAATCTGGTATTAGCATCCCCATACTGGGAACTCTAATTTGGGAATTGTATTCCCATTTCTAGAGTATATAAAAATGTTTAATATTTCCATTTTGAAAGGAGCTGAGAGTGAGAATTTTCCAGAAAGAAAACTGATTTAATTCTAAAAGATATCAGGAAACTTTCTGGTATAGTGTAAGAAATACTTTGAAACAAATACAGTACTGAATAGGAGGCAATGAAATATTACTATTTGGCTACTTCCCCCCCACTTATTTTGATCTTTAGTGTTACATATTCAGAAAGCATTTTTATTATACAGTTAGAATATCAAAACCAAAAGGTGCCAAGGTTATCGTTCAAGTGGTGTTGCTTGGGTGGCCTTTTCTGTCTGTATCTAGTGCAGTCATTCCATGTAGATCTACTTCCAGAACCTGTAAAACCCCAGTGCTATTGCTAGGCAAGTGAACACTGAAGCTGTTAAAAAAAACCAAAACACAAAGAAAGGAGATAATTAGCTGAATGCTGTTGTACCACTTTATCCATAGAGGAAATTGGCTGCAAACAGATGGAAGAATTAACAACTCTAGAGAAGAGCCTCCTAAAGCTCCCAGATTGCTGCAGGTGCGACAGAACAATTCCAGAAGCCAATGGTTGGTCTCAGATGCCGTGCCCTGCTCAGCAGCACAGCCTCAGTGCTGAGATGGGAGGCCCAGTGCAGCAGCCTGAGGAGCCATGTTTTCAGGGACACATCCCAACAACTAAGCTGGATACCTCAGAGCACCACAGGCTACAGGGGCTTGTACTGTTGCCACCCAGCTACTGGAAACTGCGCTACAGGAGACCAGGGCTCACATCAGATATCCCAGATTTGCCATGGAATCAAAATGACAATGAATTTGAAAATGAGCTCTCAAACACGGCAGCAGTCCTCAAGCCTGACGAGTTGTCTTTTGGACTTGTTATGCTGCTGTTTCAATTAGTGTTACAATAAAGCTAATTACATTTTTCTTTGAACTTATTCTCACTTCCAGATATAATGCATTACTCTTTTTATCCAGCTCCTACACAACAAAAACTTCACTGGTTATGTACATATTGAGAAGACTAATCTCAAACTGTGTTTTTGAACAAGCAGAAATTTGTTCTGCTTGGCAGTGGAAAGTACAAGTCCTGCCTCACAGAAACTCTGTGTTTGTGGAGACTCAATGGGAGGCAGAACTGGTCACTCTCAGACCAGTCCTGAATGACAACAAACCTTCAGGGTAACGTAAATGACCTCAGCAAAACTTCTGTAGCAACTCCATCACATCAATGGCTGCTGCAGCAAGCAGAGGTACTGTCAAACTGGGTAAGGCATTTAGGCTTTTAATTTTTTTTAAACCATGTCCATATTCATCCTAATCCCAGTTCTGGGCACAATCCTAGTCCCATGGTGGCATGCTCCCAGCTCTTCTGTGTTCTCTGTCACATTTCTTCCAGCTGGAGGGGGAAAGGGAGAGGATCTCCACCCAATCCCAGTAGCCTGCTGCTACAGCTGACCTCATTTACCATATACTTCTGAACAGAATTTTATACAGCCACAATCCAGTACCAGTACTCACCTCCTTGCCTGTCACATACCTGCCAAATAGCGAATGGTATCAAGTTTATTCGATTCCATGAGTGTTTTTAAGGAAGCTATTTCAGTGTCAATTTTATTACTGATTTCTGAGATAATGCTGTTGGTATTTGCATCCTGAAATATTAAAAGACAGCATATATTAGACAACGGTCTCTAGCCCCTTCAGCTTTCCAAAGCTGAACTGAAAAACCATGCTACCAGAAACAAGAACATTTCCAACCTATCACTGCTAAGAGACTTTAGAAGACAGAAAAACTTGCTTCATACAATCTGGGAAGATTGCTGAAGGGATAGAGACAATGAAAGAGAAAACTTCAATGATCATAGAATCACAGACTGGCTTAGGCTGGAAGGGACCTTAAAGACCATCTTGTTCCAACCCTCCTGCCATGGGCAGGGACACCTGTCACTAGATCAGGTTACTCAGAGCCCATCCAGTCTGGCCTTGAACACTGCCATGGATGGGGAGTCCACAACATCTCTGGGCAACCTGTGCCACTGTCTCACTGTCACCCTCATGACAGAATTCTGTCTCTGATGTGCCAGTGCCTCCTGAAGGAGATACTCTACAGCACACAGAACAGTATTCCTGCATTTCTGAAAAACCAAGGTTTAAACATTCACAAGGCATATCACAAAAACAGAAGATATGCTCAAGATGGGACATGGTCCCTCTTCAGCCCCATAGACTTTGGTGTCCTCTAGCAGCTTTGAGACCTCCAGCCCTTGAATTGCTTGGCTGTAGGCACCTGCACCATCCCTGTGATACAGCTCATCAGTTAACACTGGGAAAAAGGAAGCATGATAGCTCACATCCCAGCTGTGCCAGCCTGCGACAGCACTTGGGAAGCAAGGGACGAGGCTGGAATGCCTCCCTCTGCTGACTGGAGTTTAGTGTAAATCCCACAGGCAAGAAACACCTGCAACAGCCCTGAGTGACAGAGCCTGGCCTTTTGCTTTACCACACCCATAAACATATTAGCTTTCACCAAAGTTTGGGGTTTACAGAACATGCAATGCACAACTATATTCTGCTTTGTTCAATACTTACTTTTTTATGAAACTCTGTAGTTGCTTCCATCAGTTTCCTCTCCTGATCTGTAAACTGTGGATAAAAAATAAATCACAGCTATAGCAACAGACACACAACACAGAGCTAATAAGGGCATCTCACAGACCAACTCACCATATCTGTCACCCTGCTCCTCTCCAGGTTTATGTCTAGCTTGCTGTCAGCTCGGATTTTACCGGTTTCAGTCTTTAAAACAAATTAAGATTATGAAAATAGCTACTTAACTTATTTTCCCTAATGGGAGTGTGCAGGTACTTGCTGTTTACTTACCATTAGCTGCTGTTTAACTTGATCCAATTCAATTTTCATTTTCTAAGTGCAGAGAAGAAAAAAATAAAAGATTTTTACAAATTCAGGAAACTTAACCAAATGAATCAGTGATGTGTTATCACTGCATCCATGCAATTATTCTTTCTCCATTTTTCCTCCCAATGGGTCAATTTGTTCTTGATTAAATATCCTAACTAATGTGTTTGGATGTACAAGCATATATAATCTGCTGGGAATTTTGTTCAAAATAAAGGAATTATTTTGTAACAATGATGATCTTGTTATTCTGAGTCTAAAGACAGCAGAGAAATACCAAAATACCATGAAGTAAAAGCAAAATGTGTCTCAATCACCAAATTAATTAAATTATTGCAAAGGAATGGCTGACTCCTCTACCTGCACTACATGGTTAATGGCCAGAAACTAGCAGTTACCCTTAAATAAAATTACAGAAACTGAAAAAAAATGTACACATCTTAGAATCCTTTACAGAACATCTGAGGCAGGTCACAGCAAGTGAAATACATTTTTATGTGATCTCTGAAGTTGTAACATACAGACTCTTCAATTCTGATGAAAGTATCCAGAATTACTTCTACATTTATATTTTGTTCCACAAAACTGTACACCAGGTAAAACACAACAAATACTGCAATTAAACTGCTTAATGAAAATATATATTAGTACCTCATTCTCTGCTCTCAGGTTTGCAAATTCACTTTTCTCCAGGATGACCATATCTTTTCGAATGGAGTCCAAATGTGCCATTATCTGCTGTAAAGTTATTTCCTTTGAAAAATAAAACATGCTGTTGATTAAGGTGCACTCTTTCTGACAAGTAAAGAAAAAATGTTTAGGTCTGAAACGATTAAATTAGCTACTGCAAAGCCCAAAGCGGGGAGTGTCTCTAACAAGAATGTGACAGAAACAGACAATTTAATACCAGCAATTTGTTTGAAAGACTCAAGAATTTTGTGCTTTTTCTGTTGCTTTAATACACCAACTCTGAACTTAAGCAAATAGGCCAGAGGTGTTGTTCCAAGTAGCAATGAAATAGACCTGAAACTACAGGTCACTCCAGCAGTCTCTTCCACTTCCAGTGAACATTCAGTAGCCTCAGAAGCATTAATTGTTGATCTGAATGCAGCTCTTCCTAAGCACTTCCATTTCTTGCCTACAAACTCGTTGAAAGCCAAAGACTTAATGAGTATCATAGTGCCAGCTTCGAAGTCTGACGGACAGAAGTGAAACACTGCTAAAAAGCACTGAGAAAAGCCTTCCTGGGGTTTGAACTAACAAGTTCAGAATTCAACCACTACAAAGGAAGAACCCAAACCAGAAAATAAATGAAGAAACTCAGAATTTTAGAATGCTGAAAGCAATACTCCTTCTCCCAGCATATGGAAGTTACCATCCTATTTAGCATGGAAACAGTTTTGATCATTGCTCCAGAAGGCTGTGCAAGCTGAAATTATGTGCTATTCTTCTTCAATTACTTAATGTAATTAAGCATTCATTGCTATTTTATTTGAACTGCTAAGCCTTTCTTCTAAAAAAATTTTATCTTACTGGCATTTACTTGTAATAGAAGTTGTCTAGCATTTTTTTCCCTTCTAAATCTCAGAAGAAAACAAGAACTTCTGTCTCTGATTTTTTTTCATCAAAATGAAAATCTTTCTTTTTGGAAATCCTATTACATGCAAAGCATCCTAAACAGAATTTGCATGGAATTGCATTAGGTAGAAACATTGTTTTTTATAGTGTAGTCAGTACTGATAATTAGTATTTTAAGATGGTATGAGGCATATTATCTCCTCAGTGTAAATGCAACTGAAGTCTTCCCAGGAATTGTGACAGCTTCATTGTGTTCAATGAAGTAGTCAGACTTCAGTGGAAGCTGGTCAGGGCCTATCTGTTAAAATCCCAAGTGAAACTTAGGAAAACCTGGCACAGGGAAGTGTTTATAGTACTAGAGAGAGCTGCCCACTTGTGTTTTAAAGATGCACACATGAGCCTTTATAGCTAGACAGCTAGATGAGTTTTTACCTGCTGGGCCTGTGTAACCATGTCCTTGTAGACCGTGTCTAAGCTGACATTGGACAGGGTTATCAACGCCGACACGATGGTCTGTGCTTGCTCCTTCCCAAAGCCTGGGGACAGTTGAAGGATGACAAGTTAAGGTGGTATTAAAAATCTGGTTAAGGAGCAAGAGACACTCAAGTGTCATACCTAACTACAGCAGCACACGGGAATTCACACAATGACTCAGAACTGACAGCCAGGAGCCAGGCACTGTGACTTCAGCTAGAAAAAACAAACTTAATGCTGCAAAATTCTGAAGCCCAGCACCTTTTAATATACTGAAAGTCTAGACATGCAGCTGACAGAAAGACCAAATTTCTTCATACGAGATCCAGCCGTTCATGCATTATAAAAATAATTTAGCAAAACTTCACTTCATAATGAACTTTCACAAATTCTGTTAAAACCAAACTTACCTGCAGCTACAAAGCATGCATTCTATAGAATAATAACAAGGCATTCTGCATATATTGGACTGTCCTGCAGAGATAGGAACATATACAAAACTGATTCTTAAACTGCTGCATCCACTGCCTCCAGAATGAACTCTTAACTGGGATTTCTGCTTTCTGATGATAAAAAGTATACTTTGTAGCTTGGTGTAAATTTGAAGTGTTACAGACAACATATGGTAAATACTGGGGGAAAAAAGTTGCTCTTATTTTAGCTGGATCTGGTGAAGTGGTGAGAGCTTTTGCCCATGAGACTTATTTCCAGCAATGTGACTACTATGTTGTGTTTCAACTACCCCATCTTATAAAGTGGGCTAAATTAACACTGAAAAACACTTTCAAGGCACATATTAAGAGGCTTATGCCACTGCACCCTTCTAAAATACTGGTACTGTCCAGGTGCACCACTGGTTTATATGTCTAAAAAAACTACACATGCTTTATGACAGCTTCCTTCCACTATGAAGTGTGACAGAATTGCTTCAGTTTCCCTGAATTTTCAGGGTTACTTAAGCTCTTGCCAATTCCTTATGTTGCTCTTCCTCCACAGCAAGAAATGACTGTGTTTTGTGAGAGATAGAAAATGAGGAAAAATTTATATAGGTAAGAGATCGGAGCCTGAAAACTGCCTGAAAATTTGAGAAAAACTAAAATGGCTCTCTTAATTTTGTGGTTTTACCTATACAGACCTGTTACCATGGTAGAAGTATTTGTAGAAGTTATATAACAAATTAAACTGAGTAACAACTGGCACCAGACTTCACTCCACAAGTTCTAAAGGAACTTGAAGAAGAAATAGCTGAATCAGTTCCTGGGACAAGTCACATTTCACAGCCTATCGTGGTTTCCCATGGACTGGAAAAATGCAAGTGCCAGTTTTAAAAAGCAGTTCTAGAGAGATGTAGGGAAGTGCAGGCTGTCTAGTCTGACAAGCATGATAAAAATAAACATAGTAAGCAGACTACTGTTAATCTTTTAACTACTGACACATATTATTATTAGACCCAAATAGTGGAAACAATCCTAACCTCTGACTGTACAAAGTTTCTACTGTCACTTGGGATTTTAAAAAGATAGTTGCTAGTCTGATGAAGACATCAGCTCAAAGCTCAGCAGGGATGAATAAAACAAACCAAACCCTTTGAATTACTAGGAAAAGGAACAGAGAACACAACAGACATAACATTACTTTACTATGCAAATCCATAGGAAATTCAGTTGTCAAGTAATGCCAGCACTGTTCCCTGAAAACATGAAATGGAATGGAATGTGACAGAAGCAGAAAATATTAAGAGAAGGACATCATGAATAATCAAAAATATGGAAAATCCTCTGCTTCAGGAAAAATGCAACAAGCTAGGATTCTTCTCTTTGGAAAACGATGGGGCAATATGACAGAAGTCTGCGTAATCATGAGTGACATGAGAGATTAAATGTTCACTCCTTCCCACAGAAGAGCTGAGTGGGCATCAAATTCACCTCACAGATGCCAGATTCTGCATAAGTAATACGTGTGGATGTCTGAAGTTCCATGAGGAAGGATGTTCTGGATAGTAATCAGTTTATAGTGGCTCAGGGACTGCATAAATTTGTGAAAAGATTTCCACTGAAGGTTACTAAAACTCTCCACTGATTTAAAATACCTCCAGGGTGACAGAAACTGGAAACTTGGAAAGCACAAGGGGATGTGTGACATACATCTGCCCTGTGATAACACTCCTCTGCAGGCTCTGACTCTCAGCTGCTGCCAGGAGACAGAACCCAGGGCTGGATGGACTCTTTATCTGACTTCAGCCAGTCTTACTCAAAACAGAAGAGTGGGCACTGAGAATGCATCACAGCACCGTGCTGCTGAAAATATTTCTCATTAGGAAAAAACCTTTCAGTTATTCTTAGCAGGCTAGTAGAAGGAATTTCTTGAAAAGCTTCATTGTTGCTATAGAAGTCTTTAACTGTTACATTTGTTACCTGTGTTCTGTTCCTCAGCTGGAAGACACCACATAAACCTGCCTACAGCTACCAAAGAGGTAAATCTAATGTCCTACTTGCTTGTATGGCACACCATCAGGCGTCTCTCCTTCACCAGCCTGCTCAAGAGGCTCCCAAAACATTTTACACCACTGGGTACTGGCACTCTGGGAAAACTGACAGCACTCAAAGTTACACTACTTAATATTAAAAGTTTTCCTTTGAATTATTTGTCTGATATCACTTACCATGGGCTTCCAGATCCTGCACTAAAGCATGGGTATCAAAAGTCACCTTCCTCTGCTCCAGGGGAGTGATATCAACTCTTCTGACATCATATGACTTCCTAACCAACGTGGCAGCAAAACCTGGAAATAATCAGACATGCCTTAATCTTAGGTTGATTGTCTTATTATGCAATACACTAATCTTAATTTCTTCCACCACAGAAAAGCTGCATGGATGTTGCAACGAAAAGCTGGGTTACAGCACCCACCAGAAACCATCAACACTTTTCCACAGGGAATTTACACTAAACAGGACTTACAGATCTGTCTGAAGTGTTTTCATGTAGCTGTGCAACAGACAAGCATCCTGATACAGCACAAATAAACCCCACAGCCAACTGTTTTATAATATTTGGGAAACATCACTTAAATAATTTTTGCACTTGTAAAACACTGAATGACTTTATGCAATTAAGCATTCATTGGTGTTTTATTTAAATCGCTGAGCCTTAATTCCAACAGCTTTTTATTTTATCACAGAACCACAGAATGGTTTGGTTTGGAAGGGACCTTTAAGATCAGCTAGTTCCAACCCCCTGCCATGGGCAAGGACACCTTCCACCAGACCAGGCTGGTCAAAGCCTCACCCAGCCTGGCCCTGAACGCTTCCAGGGATGGGGCATCCACAGCTTCTCCAGGCAGCCTGTGCCAGTGCCCCCCTACTCCCACAGTAAAGAATTTCCTCCTTATATGTAGTCCAAATATCTCATTTTCAGTGGCTTGGGTGAACATAAAGCTACAATTAAAAAAATAATGTATGCAAGTCTTATTTTCATGATGGATGAATTTCTTGGTTCACCAGGAACATAACAGGGCAGTAAAGGGATATGAGGTTTGTGTCTAATACCTGAGATATTAGGAATACCTAATCTCTAAAGAGGTATTAGTTAGCCTCAGGTATTAGTTAAAGATCCACTCCATGGATCTTTATGACATGCCCTCCCACAAGCAGGTTTCACTGCTTCTCCTACTTTTATTTCAAGCATATGTTTCTCTTCACCTTATGTTTGTGTGGTTTCACATATTACAGATTCTGCTCTCATTAATTCTTTGTTATCTAAGCAGCCCTGTTACTTCTTAATCTGTTTATTTGAAACTATATGCACTGCTGGCTCTCTGCCTTAACCAGATTCTGTGTCTTACCCAGATCTTGACTCAAAAGCTTTATAACATTTAAACAACAGGGAATTTATAATTTTTTGTCGCTACTAGATAAATCAAGTCATGTGCTATCTTATACTATAAAGATTTGGCTATAACTAAACCAGCCACAGCACTCTATTATTAACGACAATATTAGAGTTAAGATGCACCAAATGCTACATACAAATAATGCAAACCATCTGATAACATCGTTTTTATGGAGCTGTCCCAGCTTTTAAACACACTGCTCTTGTCCTCTAAACACATAGGTGGATATTTTCATTGGGTTGATCTCGACTGGATGCTCCTCTCCCAGCCGGGGCTCCACCAACCCGTCACCCTCTGGGTGAGGCCCCTCCGCGCTCCCGGCAGCTCCTCCCGTCCCGAACACGGCCGGACAGCCCCGTACGCCGCTCACCCGGCTGCTCCCGCCCGTGGAACTCACCCCTTGTTCCTGCCCCGAGGGAAGGCGCTCAGCGCTCCCTCACACAGCGCTCCAGGGACGCGGCCGCTCCCACGCACCGAGCCCGGCCAGCGCCCTGTGCAGCCCCAGCGCCGCTCACAGACACGGCCCGGCTCACCCGACACCGGCAGCCACCCACCCCGAGGGGCCGCAGCACGGCGCTGCGGCGCCTCTCACCTCTGCGAGGAGCCGGGGGCAGCCGGGCCGGCATCGGGAGCAGGAGCGGGCGGGCCCAGGCGCGGATGGCACCGCTGCTCCCGACGCCCCTCATGGCGCCCCAGCCCTCCGCTTCCGCCCGCTCACGGCCGCTTCCGGTCGGCCCCGCGGGGCATGCTGGGTATTGTAGTCCGCGGCCGCACGGCAGGGCTCGGCCGGGGGCGACGCAGCGCTCCCGTGCGGATGGGAGGACCCCAGCGCTGTGGCCGCCATGTCCGTCTATGTCCGCCCTCAGCCGGCGCCGCACCGCGGGGGCTGCTCCGCTCTGTGACGCCAGGGAAGCGACCTTGAAAATCATCTAGATCCAAACCCCTGCCATGGGCAGAGACACCTTCCACCAGACCAGCTTGCTCAAAGCCCTATCCCTGGCCTTGAACACTTAAAGGGATGGGGCATTCACAGCTTCTCCGGGCAACCTGTGCCAGTGCCTCACCACCCTCACAGTAAAGAATCTCTTGCTTATATCTAATCCAAATCTCAGTGGCTTGTGTGAACATGAAGCTACTTATTTATTTATTTAGAAATACATACAAATCTAATTTTCACAATGAATTAATTTCTTGGTTCAGGAGGAAAGTAACTGGGCAGTATAGGGATATGATGTTTGTATCTTATACCTCAGAGATACCTTTTCTGGGCAACCTGTGCCAATGACTGGCCCCCCTCACGGTAAAGAATTTCTTCCTAATATCTAATCTAAACCTGCCCTCTTTCAGTTTAAAACCCTTGCCCCATGTCCTGTCACTACTGGCTCGTTTAAAAAGTCTCTCTCTTTTCACAAGCCCTCTCAAGGTGCTGAAGGCCGCAGTGAGGTTTCCCCTTAAGCCTTCTCCTGGCTGAACTGCCCAACTCTCTCAGCCTTTGTAGGAGAGGTGCTCCAGCGCTCTGATCATCTTTGTGGCCTCCCCTGAACTTGCTCCAACAGATCCACATCCTCCTTCTTGCGCTGATGTCCCAAGAGCTGGACACAGCACTCCGGGTGGAGTGTCACAAGAGCAGAGCAGAGGGGCAGAACCCCTTCCCTCGCCCTGCTGCCCACGCTGCTTTTGCTGTAGCTCAGGGCACAATTGGCTTTCTGGGCTGTGAGCACACACTGCCAGCTTGTGTTCAGCTTTTTATACATGAGAGCCCCCAAATCATTCTCCTCAGTAAGTTCCTCTTCCAGTCTGTGCTCATATATGGGATTGTCCCACCAGATGCGACTCCCTGCAGTTGTTGAGCTTCATGAATTTCTCATGGGCCCACGAATCAACAGCTCTTGTGTTGCCGAGATACAGACATTAGAAACAAACCCCAACAACAGCAGCAAAGAGCTGTCACTATGGGAGAAGAGCCGCAGATCGGCGCCTTCTCTGCAGGGGTGTTTTTGTTAAACGCTAACACTGTCACACGCAGGCTCAGGATGCCAAATGCTCCTTGAGCAGCACACAGTTCTTTCCATCCACAAAAGCTTCCCTGGCGGCGCAGAAAGGCCGAGTGTGCCCCAGGGTGCTGATTTTCTACTTCAGACAAACAGCGAGATGGCAAACTGGGTGTTTGGAAGCTGTGATTTCTGTCAGCCGGAACCAGCAGCTGAACTCGGTACGTTTCAGCAATATACAGAGCTGCTTCGGGCGTCAGGGCTGCTGTCCCAGTTTGCCATAGGAGGGCAGCAGCCTACAGCCGGATCGACTGGTGACGGGACTGTTCTGATCAGTTCACTCTTCTTCTCTGTTTTATTCTCATTTGTACACATTCAGTGCAGGACAGCTATTCCTACGCTCTCAGCTGGCTATTCTACAGCTTCTGCACGCACACAACTCACACATCTCGATATTATCAGTCCGTTTGTCTGGGTGAGGGTCTGCAGCAGCGATTACTTTCATGCTGCCATACTCTGCAAGGATGCTTTAGGGTAGAAGGCTCTCCTCTGAAACAGATGAAAATAGGGAAGGCGAGTGGATGTGGACCGCCAAGAGACAAATGTTGAAACCAATGAGATGGTTGGAAAGAGGGGAAATAACAAGACATCCTCTGCCTGGTGTTGGGACCATCCATCTATCATCCCTGCCTCAGCATCCATGAGCACACCCCCCTCCCAGCTCTGTTCTGCTTCACCTCAGGGGGTAAGAGGGGAGTATTGCTGGGAAGCAGAACTGGCTCCCTTCCCTCTCTTACCACACTGGTGAGACAAAGCTAAAGTGCAAAATACAGCTTGGGAGGCAAAGGTGAACAAGATTCAACAGCCTGGAGTGAGACAGAAGAGAGCTTGCATCTAGAAGATGCTATTAATCATAATTTTGTCCTCTAATTGTTTCAGCACTGGTTGGTATTGTATATATTTAGGAACATGAGACCTCCACAGTGTCTCTTACTCAGGTCAGTGTGCTCTGACTCTCCTGCATTACAGAGGCAGTCTGTGCCTCTGCTGGCTACTCAGTGGGCTCTTGTGCTTCAGCGTTGTGCTAGGAAACATCTCTCAGGATTTCACTCTCATGTGCTAAGGGTACATTGGAGGTGGGAGGGTGTTACCCAGCAGCTCTCCAGAGTTGCTTATCTCTTTATGGGAAACCCAGAGAGAAGAGCTGGTGCATTCTACCCAGTTTTGAGCTGACTGGAGTTTAGGAGCTTAACTGTGCTTCACAAACATTCAGAGACAAAGAGCAGGGAGCAGGTGAATAATGCCAGTGCAGATCAACAACAACAGTACAATAGATTCTGTATTCTTCATGCAAAAGAATTCACCGAGGCATGCATCCTGGAAAGCTTTCTTCCTCCTAAAGTACCTATCACAGTTTGCTTTCCATCTAGATAAACACATTTGCAGCAAATTAGATTACCTTCCAAATAAACATGCAGGGTGGGGCATAGTGGCCTGGGGTAGGACAGGTCAGTGCTCTGCATGATTAATTTACTTACATCAGGCTCAGATAAATCTTACTAAATTGAATTTAGATGGAGTATGGGCTGTGCGCAGACAGACTTTGAAGCTGTGGTTGACATGATGTTGATTTTCACCCTTGTCGGTGTCTTGAATAACACTGAGACCCCCAATAGGAGAGTGATCACAAATGTATTTGATTAAGTCTTCTCTAAGTCAGTGAGGTGGCTGCAGTCGATGGAACCATGCTGACTTCTATCAGCAGAGGCTACTGCTTGTTCTTTGTAATCTTGTAGTGCTGAGAAGCCCAAACCCTGCATCAGCATCTCACCGTTGTGAAATCTCATTATGTAGATCCTGCATGCAGACAAAGTCAATACAATTCTAGTGTGGAAATTAGTGAAGGAAAAAAGACTTTGGTGCTTGTTGCCCGATGCTCCTCTTGCCCATCTTTCTGAATTACCCTCTCCCTGCCCTTCCCAGAACCTCCATCTACCACCTGTGTGATACTTCGGTGGTCAGGTGCACCCCTCAGGCATAAGCCCACCCACATATTGCATCTTTCCCTAGATGTTGTGATGTTTCATGGGCTCACTAAACTACAGATAACTACCCAGTCTAGGTCACTCCAGAAATCCAGATGGATTCTGCTCCCTTGTAATTAGATGATGTTAGGGTACGCTGTGCAGCAGTGTCCAACAAAGCCTTCTGCTTCTGTGGATCACATGCCAGGCCATCAAACCAGCGTTGTTGGGTGGGTGCTTTGTAGCAGTGGTTTTCCTTGCAGTCCGTGCATGTGGGCTTCTTGATTTGAGGTGGGCACATTGTTCCACTTCTTCATCCTCCTAATTGTGCAGGAGGAGCCACAGGCTGGCATGGCATGCCCTGGATCCCCCTTTCCCTCTGGACAGAAACAACTCTGTGGGGCATCTCAGGCAGCTGAGACCTAGACCTTTGGTCAGGGGGAGGAGAGGAGGTTCTCTTTGAATCCTGGGAACCATTGGAACAGTCACTGTGCAGTTAGTGGTTCGGGGTCTGTGCAGTGCATCAGCCCCACGGTGTTGGCACACAGCACTGGTGAGTTATGTGCACCTTCTGCACATGGACTGGGTGCAGTCCCACCACCTCTACTTCCCTCAAGCATTGGATGCCTTTTACAGTGGTGGTTCTCTTGCCCAGGCATCGTACCAAGTCATCCTTGAGGGAGTAACTGCTTTCATTGTCAACAGGAATTATGTCCAAAGGCTTCCCTTTGCCAATCCCGGTGTGTCTCCTTAGGGATCCCAGCTGCCTGGCTTGCTGGCTAACTCCTGGCTGGCTAACTCCTGGCAGCAGACCCCAGTATCCTGACATTGGAGCAACTAGGCAGCAATCTGCTCACCTGGCTTGTGGCTGTAATTTTTCCACAGATCTTGCAGGTCCTTTAAAACTTGGGGTTTATGGCCTGAGTGATTTCCGCCTCCTTGGTCTCTTTGTCACTCCCTCATCCTGCCTCCCCTGATGGTTGGGCTGAGGCTCAGTAGGCACAGGCCAAGCCCAAAAACATTGCCAAAATTCGTTGGGTCTCATAGGGTTAGGCAAGGCACCTTCCTTCAAGTGGTGAGCCAGTTCAACAGGTTTATGTGCCTGTTCAAGTGTAAAGTCTCAGGCTATTGAAGGTGATAACTGCTCTAGGCACTGGCTTTAGGCACCTTCCCAAATCCTCCCACAAACCTTGCCAGTATCAACTGGCCATCTTGGTGCACATTTCTTTGTCACCTCACCAACAATGCTTTATGCTTTGTTTACTCTTGTGCCAGGACCAAGCCAGGTTCTGCAGGCCCAACAGCAATCCAACAATGCTTGAGAACATAATCAAACAGCATGCATGATCACGTACAGGGAACTTGGGAGCCCATGCAAAAAAGCTGGACACATCCATCCCAGAGGAGCAGAGGATCCATCCCAGGGGAGCAGAGGGAGGTGTAATCCCTAATGCTTCCCACAAGGCAGCTCACACAGCACGAGAGGAGCATCAATGCCAGGGCTGTATGCCAGCCCTGGCACACGGCCATTGTCTTTTTCAAAAGGTGTCCAGGCATGGTGAAGTAAAGCA